GGAGCCGCCACCCGGGCCCTGTGCCCCGGCCGTTACCGCGGGGCCGCTACCTGCGGGGGCTTTGGGGTGGTTTTTTGGTTCGGGGCTGTTTTGTTATTTGTTTCTTTGTTTGTTTTTTTCTTTTCTCTTTTTGGTTGCTTTCAATTTTTTACTTTTAGGCATCCGTTTCATCACAGGGTGCCAGCAGCCCTTAGCGGAGCAGAGGGTGCCTTTTGAATGCCAGGTACCAATACAGGTTAGGGGTGGACCTGCTGGAAAGCACTACTGAGGAGAAGGATCTGGGGGTCCTGGTGGATGGCAGGCTCTCCATGAGCCAGCAATGTGCCCTTGTTGCCCAGAGGGCCAGTGGAATCCCGGGCTGCGGAGGGAAGAGGCGCCCCGCCGGTAGGGCCCGGCGCAGCGGGGCGGCATGGCCCGGCCCGGCGCTGTCCGGGGGCGGCGGGGCTGGCGGGGCTGTAGCGGCGGGGATCGAGATGGGGCCGGCGGCTGGGGCCGGGGCCGTCAGCGTTGCGGGGGAAGCGGCGGCCGGGCGCAGGGTGCGGGGAAGCACGTGTGGTGGAGCCGCCACCCGGGCCCTGTGCCCCCGCCGTTACCGCGGGGCCGCCACCTGCGGGGGCTTTGGGGTGGTTTTTTGGTTTGGGGCTGTTTTGTTGTTTGTTTGTTTGTTGTTTTTTTCTTTTCTCTTTTTGGTTGCTTTTAATTTTTTACTTTTAGGCATCCGTTTCATCACAGGGTGCCAGCAGCCCTTAGCGGAGCAGAGGGTGCCTTTTGAATGCCAGGTACCAATACAGGTTAGGGGTGGACCTGCTGGAAAGCACTACTGAGGAGAAGGATCTGGGGGTCCTGGTGGATGGCAGGCTCTCCATGAGCCAGCAATCACAGAATCAGCTGGGGCTCCTTAGCCTGAAGAAGAGAAGACTGAGGGGAGACCTTATTAATGCTTTTAAGTATTTAAAGGATGGTTTGAGGGAGGATGGAGCCGGACTCTTTTCAGTGGCCTCCAGCGATAGGACGAGGGGCAATGGGCACAAGCTGGAACATAGGAAGCTCCACTCAAATATGAGGAAGAACTTCTTTAGGGTGAGGGTGACAGAGCCCTGGAACAGGCTGCCCAGGGAGGTCGTGGAGTCCCCTTCTCTGGAGATCTTCAAGACCTGCCTTGATGCAGTCCTGAGTGATGTGCTCTGGGCGATCCTGCTTTGGCAGGGGAGTTGGACCAGATGATCTCTAGTCCAACTTCAGCAATTCTATGATTCCATGATTCTCGCCCGTAAAGTTTCCCCGCAGGCAGACCAGGGCAGAGCGCCAGCTCAGGAGGCTGCAGGGAGGATCTGCTTGGCCCTGGGGCGGTGCGGAGAGGGTCTTGCTGGCAGCATTGAGGTTGCTGGGATGGGAGTGGTGTAGACCCTGTGCTCATTCTCAGGAACAGGACGAAAAGGTGATGAGCTGACCCAGAGTGAACTCACACCAGTATATGGAGTGTTGTCGTGGTTTAACCCCAGCCAGCAAGTAGGACCACACACCTGCTCTCTCACTCTTCCCCCAGTAGGGCAGGGAGAAGAGGAAGAAAAGAAGGGGAAAGGAAAAAAGCCTCATGGGTTGAGATAAAGACAATTTAATAGAATAGCAACTGAAAAGGAAAATAATAATATGGGTAAAAGAATATACAAAATAAAGTGGTACAACACAAGTCACTCTCACCACCTGATGACCAATTACCCAGCAATCACAGATCCCTTGTCCCTGGCTGACCCCAATGTATATAGGGAGAAGAGGAAGAAAAGAAGGGGAAAGGAAAAGGCTCCCCAGTTCAAGAGGGATAGGGAACTGCTGGAGAGAGTCCAGCGAAGGGCAACAAAGGTGATGGAGGGATTGGAGCATCTCCCTAATGAGGAAAGGCTCAAATTGCTGAGGCTCTTTAGCCTGGAGAAGAGAAGGCTGAGGGGAGACCTTATCAACGCTTATAAGTATCTAAAAGGTGGTTTGAGGGAGGATGGAGCCGGACTGTTTTCAGTGGTTCCCAGTGACAGGACGAGGGGCAACAGGCACAAGCTGGAACATAGGAAGTTCCACTCAAATATGAGGAAGAACTTCTTTAGGGTGAGGGTGACAGAGCCCTGGAACAGACTGCCCAGGGAGGTTGTGGAGTCCCCTTCTCTGGAGATCTTCAAGACCTGCCTTGATGCAGTCCTGAGTGATTTGCTCTAGGCAACCCTGCTTTGGCAGGGGAGTTGGACTAGATGATCTCTAGAGGTCAGGGGCAGGGGAGTTGGACCAGATGATCTCTAGTCCAACTTCAGCAATTCTATGATTCCATGATTCTCGCCCGTAAAGTTTCCCCGCAGGCAGACCAGGGCAGAGCGCCAGCTCAGGAGGCTGCAGGGAGGATCTGCTTGGCCCTGGGGCGGTGCGGAGAGGGTCTTGCTGGCAGCATTGAGGTTGCTGGGATGGGAGTGGTGTAGACCCTGTGCTCATTCTCAGGAACAGGACGAAAAGGTGATGAGCTGACCCAGAGTGAACTCACACCAGTATATGGAGTGTTGTCGTGGTTTAACCCCAGCCAGCAAGTAGGACCACACACCTGCTCTCTCACTCTTCCCCCAGTAGGGCAGGGAGAAGAGGAAGAAAAGAAGGGGAAAGGA